AAAGGTGAACTTTTCCTTTAAGCTATTTAATGTGTCTGTGTAAATTCAATCTTGTTTGTAATTTCTGTCCTGTTCTGCCGACATTACATCTTTGGTTGAATTTTTTGTATTGGATGAGGTACACAACATTACTGGAGGTACAGTTGTATGATCCTGTAATATTGAAGGACCCTTGTGTATGTGTTTGAGAGGCACTTTTTAATGGACTGAGTAGGCTGCACAGTTTGCATCAGGTTTTTTTGCAAAGATTGGTTCCTTTATTTGCAACTTTGTAAACAGAGTGAAGTTTCCTGCAAATAAATTTATGTCTAAGGTTGGGTGGCTGCCTGAAACCCAGCATTGGGGGTTGTTAGAAAATTTCTTTCAGTATTTCATCTGGTATGATAGGCTGCAGCAATTTGATTATGTTTCTTATACCTTCTAGTGTTGGACTGCATGTGGTTACTAGAGGTACATGGTTATTTGGGGTTTTTTTTTCCTGTCTTTGTATTGTAGGAGAATCTCTCTTTTTGTATTTTCAAGGCTGTGTTTATGCTGGTAATTGATGGTTTTGTCCCTGTAACCTTTCTACTGGAAGGCATCTGCTAGTATTCTGAGAGGTTTATTTCGGTTCTCTGGGTCCAAGCATGTTTGGTCGTGTTTGATGGCCCGGCTGTGTATGATGCTGGGAGTGGAAGCTGGAACTGTGGAGACAGTCAGTCAGTGAGCTTCCTGTATATTGAGATGTGGATATTGTGATGTCTAGGATGTTGAGGTATGCTTGAATAGCCCATTTTTAGCTTGATTGATGGGTGAAATGTCTTACTTAACATTCTGCTAAATCTTTCTGAATTAGTACTGCTTGGACCTTGAATAGGAGGAGCACACCCCAAAAGCTTGTCCTGAAAATTTTAAAGTTATAAAATAAAAAAATATCACAGACAGTACTCAACTGTTTTTGGTGCAAGTGCGCTAATATGACTACAATCAACTCAAGCATGTACAATTTTGCAAATCTTTTTTAATTAGCACATTGGCTGTCTGCTAATTGGGTCAGTCATAGCCATTATATTTGTCCTCATTTATCAGAAGCTGAAAGGTATACTGTGTAGAACCCGATCAACCTTAAACTGTTACTAAACCCAGGACCCTGCATTTACTATATCTGGTCTCCCACAGTGCACACTACATGGAAATGCAATTATTGTCCTCATCTTCAAGCACTTATCCCACCAAGCAGAAAACAATCACCCGCAGAAACCTTTACAACTTTAACCCTTCTCTTTTCCACTCTGCAACTGACCTGGCCACTTCTGTCTACAATAGTTCACTTTCATCCACACTAGACTCACTTGCTCCCATAACTACCGAAGTATCAGGCCCCGACCTTTACAACCGTGGCAGACTGACGACACCAGAAATCTTAAGAGACATAGTCGTGCACTGGAGTGATTGTGGTGTAAAACCAAATCCCAGCAAGCATTCAGCCTATATAAATCTGCTTTCTCCATGCTGCCAAACAAACCTACTTTGTCATTCTTATTAATACCTTGTCATCCAGTCCTCATTGTCTCTTCTCTACTTTTAACTCTCTACTTTTACCACCTCCACCCAGTACCTCACTCACTGCTTATGAGATTGGCAGTCATTTAAAAAACAAGATTGATGCAATTCATAGAGGCATCTTTGCTACACAGACATCTATCCCACTTAGCATATGTTATACTAAACCTCCCTCAACACCTTCCTCTTTTGACCTTGCTACTACTGAAGGTGTCACTAAGGTTTTCTCAGAAGCCCATCTCACTACCTCCCCCCTGGATCCTGACCCCTCTCAACTACTACGGTCACCCTCTTCTTCTATCCTTTGCTCCCTCACTCACATCTTTAATCTCTCCCTCTCTACTGGTGTCTTCCCCTCCCCTCTAAAGCATACACAGATCACTCCCATACTTAAAAAGCCTTCATTGGACCCCACCAATCTGAACAACTTAAGACCCATCTTCCTGCTCTCGTTTACCTCTAAACTCTTAGAATGCGTAGTCTACAATCACCTGAGCTCCTGCCTCCCTGACAACAACCTTCGTGGCGCTTTACAGTCTGGCTTTCGCTCATTCCACTCCACTGAAATTTCCCTACTAAAACTCACTAATGATTTAATAACTGCTACAACCAATGTCCACTACTCCATACTCTTACTACTTGATTACTCTGCGGTTTTTGATACTGTTGACCATCCCCTCCTCCTCAAAAAAAAACTGCACTCGCTTGGCTTTCAAGACTCTGCTCTCTCCTGGTTCTCCTCCTATCTATTGCAGCGCTCCTTCAGCGTTGCCTATAATGCTGTCTCCTCTCCCCCTTTCTGTAGGGGTCCCTCAAGGCTCTGTCCTTGGACCCCTTCTCTTCTCCATCTACACCTCCTCCCTTGGTCATTTGATTAATTCCCATGGCTTTAAGCACCATCTCTATGTTGATGACACACAAATCTATCATTCTACTCCTCACCTCACCCCTTCAGTCTCCCCTTGCATTACTAACCTACTAAGTGACATATCAGCATGGATGTCACTCCACTTCCTCAAACTAAATCTTTCTAAAATGGAGCTCATACTATTCCCTCCAGCCGGTGCCCCCTCCCCTGACTTCTCCATCAAGATCAATAATACAACCATCAGTCCCTCCCCTCATGCCAGGGTACTAGGTGTAATCCTGGACTCCCATCTGACCTTTCTGCCCCAAATCCAATAACTGTCCAAATCTTGTAGACTTTACCTCTGCAACATATCCAAGATATGCCTGTTTTTAACCACTGAAACCACTAAGCAACTTATTCACTCCCTTGTTATTTCTCACCTTGAGTACTGTAACTCCCTCCTCATTGGCCTACCTCATCGCAGGCTATTCCCTCTTCAGTCTATCATGAATGCTGCTGCCAGACTCATCCACCTTACCAACCGTTCCATATTTGCCATCCGTCTCTGCCAATCCCTCCACTGGCCTCCCATTGCCCAACAGATAAAATTCAAAACATTAACAATAACATAAAAAGCCATTTATAACTCTGCCCCAAATTACATCACCGATCTTGTCTACAATATCACCCAATCCGTCCTCTCTGTTCCTCCAATGACCTCCTGCTCTCTCTAGCTCCCTTGTCTCTTCCTCCCATGCTCATCTCCAGGACTTCTCCAGAGCCTCCCCCAGCTTCTGGAACTCTCTACCCCAATCTATCCGATTATCGTCTACTCTGCCCACTTTTGGGTGATCTCTGAAAACCTATCTCTTCAAGGAAGCCTATCCTGCCCTCAGCTAATAACCGAATCTTCTATTTCTTCTATCAGTTCATCCCCCACAGTTATTACTTTTTGCATCACCAGCCCCTCCCTCTTATATTGTAAGCTCCAAGGAGCAGGGCCCTTCTAATCCTCTTGTATTGAACTGTATCGTTGCTGTATTGTCTCCCTTTATATTGTAAAGTGCTAAAAAACTGTTGGAGTTATATAAATCCTGTATAATAATAATAATTTTAGTAAATATAAACTGCTCTCATGAGTAGTTAGAGCAGTCTTGTGACTTCTATCAGTGTCCAACAGAGCACTGGCTAAAGCTTGTAGGAGGAGTTTTCATTCTCCTTTAACTGTCCTATGAGACTGCAGGACCCCTTACCCTCTTTCTGGTAATTGGCCCTATGCTGATCACATGCACTCTCCCAAGAAAAAAACTAAATCTCTAGCAATGCACACCAAACTGAACATGTGCAGCTTGCCCCCAAGGCTCTGTACTATCAGAACATGAGTTGGGGACAATGGAAGAAGGGAAGGATCAGAGAAGACGGGATTAAACATTCTTTTTACACAATGTAGAGGATTAACCCCTTAAGTACCACAGTGAGTATAACAAGCATGCTTTACTGCATATAAAGATTCATTTTACTGTTCTGGGTTTAGTAACACTTTAACAGTTTCTAACATACATTTTTGTCCACAGTAGATTGTACATTTAGTTCAGGGGTGGGATAATTAAAGCAGAGTTCGACCCAAAAGTGGAAGCTCCACTTGTTTGCCTCCCCCTCCCCCTTCCACTGCCATGTTTGGCACCTTTTGGGGAGAAGGGGGGAGCAGATACCTGGTTTTGACAGGTACCTGCTCCCACTTCCGGCTCAGTTCGCCGCGGTGAAGTGAACCGGAAGTCCACCCCCCCCCCCTTCCTCTTTCCTCCCTCAGTCTCCTAGGAACCTTCATAGGTCCCAGAAGACTGCTGGACCAATAGGACACGCACGTGCGCATGGGGGCACCTGGCTGTGAAGCCGCAAGCTATTACAGCCTGGTGCCCAAAGTAGAGAAGAGGGAGAGAAGAGACAGCGCAGCTGAGCATGTCGCTGGATCCTGGGATAGGTGAGTGTGCGTTTATTAAAAGTCAGCAGCTACAGTTTTTATATATAAAAATCCCCTGCGCTCCACAGAACCTAGTGAGTGAGCTGCTATCACCTATTCTCTATACCCCAAGATATGTGAAACAAATTATATTAGTGGTGAAGCGCTCAACTAAAATAATCAAAAAAACTAGTGCAATAACCCCTTTATAAATATACGCTGGTATAGAGTATATAGGTATTTTGCACAGTTTAAGTAATATTAATCACTACACCACTAGGGATGTAATATACAGTGATGAGGATATTGCACTAGTTATTATTGTATTATTTGTATAAGAGGTAGTATTTATCACCTTTTTCACCAGCGTATATTTATAAAGGGGTTATTGCACTAGTTTTTTGATTATTTTAGTTGAGCGCTTCACCACTAATATAATACAGTTTTTATAGTTGCTGACTTTTAATAAACACAGAAAGGGCTGGGACTCCGCTTTAGGCTCTCTACTCTGCGACATATTTCAAGATGAAAGCGATCAGGGACAACAGGAGCATATTAGGGTGGGGACTCCAGTTTCCCTAAAAACTTCCCTTCCATAAAACAGAACAAATAGACTTGGCTAGGTACTTATATGAATACTGTGATTACCACTGTGATGTCCTCAATGATTTGCTGCTGTTCCATAACTTGAAGCCTCAGGAATTCAATCTCTTGCTCCTGAGCATTGCTCAGATCATCCAGGGATGGGTGTGACTTCAGAGAACCCACAGTGGACAACTTCTCCTTCTGGAAAACAATTCACAGAAATGGGTAAATCACATGAGTAACTTTTAGTTTTAATTTACAGCAAAGGAAACAGAGGAGTAGTGCCTTGTCAAAATATTAGTATGCATTGACCATGAACACTTGGTAAAAAGTGTTACTTTCTTCCAGGTTCTTCACGAGCATGGACTGCCTGGTGTGTGAGCCCTAATCCAAGGCCTGTGACCGCTATCACACATGAAAGGTCACACTGGTGCACTGTAGAAACAGACATTTGAATGCGTCTGACCAAAAACTCATGTTGACATGTGTACTGCAGTGCCATTCATTTTCAATAGCGCCCCGTCGCACTAACACAGCACACTGTAGTGCACTTATGTTGTAACGCAACACAACGCATAGATATGAGCAATGCAAACACTGCTTTTAAAAAAGCGCCACATACCATTTTACGGGCATCGAGGCCTGTTCAAAATGAATGGCCTTTTAATGCAATGCACATGAAACACACATGTAAAGCATTGGTTGAGGTGTGTTAAGTAAACGCACAGTGTGAACCAGCCCTTAGCCTTATCTATGGATTATAAAGGCTGTACTGAAACATTAGGGAGAGGGCCATTACTGACCTCCTGTGAAGCAAGTTGCCTGGTTATTATGTCGATTCAGCAGCTTCAATTCATCACTGACCTTCAACAAGTATGCCAGAAGGAGTTCTGATTTTTTTTATCTGTATTCTTGTTTCAGGTCAAGGACTCAAGGTACTAAAGCCAGATATGGGCTAGTGGCATTCATAGGAAGAAGCTAGCAATGGCTGCCCTATATTACTTCAGTAAAGTAACCCGACCTAGTTAGAGCAGTGGAACATAGATTCTAATTACAGTGAATTACTGCACTAATCACAACATTCCTAGCTTTTTGAATGGTAAATATTGGGATACATACAATACATAGCAAAAATGTATGGACACCTGACCATTACAACTATGTAAACTTGTTGGGCATCCCATTACAAAACATGGCCATTAATTTGGATTTAGCCCTCTGTCACGCAATTTTAATTGCATCTACACTTCTGGGAAGGCTTTCCACAACACTTGAGAGTATGTCTGTGGGACACAAATGTCTTTGCATACCCTTCACTGGAAATACCTAAACTTACGCAATTGGAACAGCATCCATGTACTGTACTTCTGACCAAATAGGTAGGTGCAATGGTAAGGTGTAAACACCGTGTTGGCCATATTGTATATTTACAGTCACTGAAATATGACAAACATGTAAAAAGGTGAAAGTCACATCCATATTTAAAGTTATCACAACAGGTTTGGAGAACCAACACAAGCAGGCCACTGAAGAAACTTTATTTGGTTAATGTTCCCCCTTTCTACAGAGTGGCAGAAGCAGAAAATACTATAGATACAGAACCGTAAATAAAATGATAAATGCCTGATCAGTTGTGACCTTAACAACATTCCCGATATTGGCAGCATCACACGAAGGCACAACTTATAAATGACATTAGGGAAGATTTATGAGATTGAGGAGAACATTGTTTTAGCTCTTGATAGTTGTAACTTATGCTGCTCAATAGCATATATAGTGTGCCCAACAGCGTATTCACTTTCATCGTGACTTGTGTGTGTGACACTGAATGCAATGAGATGACTCTTATAAGATTTATGCTTATGCCTCAAGTGGAATTGTAACGGTTTGCCGCTTTCCCCGGTAACATAAACATTCTGTTTTTTAAAGTAAAAGTGGTCAGAAATGGGTTTAATTGTTAAAAGTGACTTTTTTTTTGAACAAGGATAATGCAAACCACAAAGTATTTTTTTTCCATCTAATGCCTCCATTTCAGCATCTTAAAAATGTTACCTTTGCAAAATGTATTGTTCATCCGCTGCTCCACCTCTTGGTTTTAGTCCCAATAAATTTTCACAACACAGAGCACAGAAGGCACAGTCACACCCATCTCTAACATTTCAAGAACAGAGTTCCTTATTCATGGGAAAGACGGCATCTTATTCATGCTCAGACTAAGGCTAGGTTCACACCCATGCAGGTTGCGTTTGAGCTGTTTCTGCATTGCATTTTGCGTTGTGTTTTTTACGCATTTTTTTTTTCATTGTTCTTGTTAGGCAAATTTAAAATGAAAAACGCATCAAAAACGCAATACATGCTTTTCTGCAGCATTTCCATTGAAGTCTATAAAACTAAAAACACAACTTTTCAAAAAAGTCCCTGACCCTTTCCAAAAAACGGACCAGGTGAAAACACACAGATGTGAACATGTCCCATAGGAAATCATGTTAAATGGACTGTACTGCGTTTGTGCAAAACGCTGCAGGTGTGAACCTGGGGTCAAGTTGGACATGCATTGTTAGATTTCTTTCATTCAGGTTGTAAGTACGGTAAAAGGGGCCTAAATGAAGTGTAATTTTGTGATATTACAATAAAGAAAAAAAATAAACAGTGTTATGTGATGCCACCCCTACGCAATATACACTGGCTTGTGTGCATTATATGGACCATATGCATGCTCTAAGTCAGTGGTCTCCAAACTGTGGCCCGAGGGCCAGATGCGGCCCTTTGCCTTTATCCGGCCCTTGGGGCATTATTCCCTCACTGTCAACAGTGGAGCATAGTTCCTGCCACTGACACCAAAGATAGGGTACTATTCCTCCCACTAATACCAATAATGTGACATTGTTCCTCCCACTGCCACCAATCAAGAGGCATCGTTTACTGCCACTGACTTTTTCTACTCCTGTTGGCCGCAGTTCGCCCCACCCCCCCTAAAGATTTAAGGAAAGTAAACTGGCCCTTTGTTTAGAGAGTTTGGAGACCCCTGCTCTAAGTTATGAAACTGGATCTATATATTTATATTATGTGAAGAACTTCTTACTATTTCTGCATTTTCTCTTGATAAGGCCTTAATCTTTTCCTCCATCCGTTGAATTGTCTGTAAGGTGTCATCATTTTTTTTGGATAGCCTCTTATTCTTTTCTACGAGAGGTTTCAGTTGACTTTCTGTTTCTCTGGATCGCTTTAGCTGGAAATAAACAAATATAAATAAAAAGTTTGGAGACACTTCAAAAAATCTGGAGTTATCAAAAAGTATATGAGTATGCTATCTGAACTTTAAAGGATACGTTCACCTTTTGTAACATGTTACACCCATATTCAGGGTGTAACATGTATCATTCTACAGATGCACCCTCCTCTGTTTCCTCCTGATCCCAGTTCTGACAGCTCTGTGGGGCTCCGCCCACCTGGCCACATCATTCATTCACAGTATTCTGTGAATGGGAAAACTACAAGTTTCTACATCCTTTACAGCTGTTGGCTTGTACTTCTCAATGAACTACCAGAATGCTGTTGAGCTCTCTAGGTAGTTCACCGAGTTTCCTGTCATTGTATTACTGCCTGCGCGTATCGGAGTTCCAGGCAGACAGCTACACAGGCTGCAAGACTGTGGATCTGCTGATCGTGGGTGCAATGCTTTACAGGCTCCTAACAAAAAAAAAACAAACAAAAAAAAACAAAACAAAAGCATAATTTTTTGCCTCCAAAAAAATGTACATTATTTTTTTTTTCTTTTGTAAAGGTGAACCTTTCCTTTTTAAAATTAATATGCAATGATGTGGACCTCAATGAGACTCCTTGGTCATTATCTGGTTATAGTCAGAATTTCTTACCTTTATTGTATGTACATTTAGGCCAAGTACACCCAAATTTCATGCACGTGTGGATGCAGCAGGAACATGTATCTCTCAGGAATTCCAGCTAAGGAATCATTCCCAGTTTCCTGTGTCCCTTCCATTTGGAAATAAAGGTAGAGGGGCGCTGGACTCCAAGCTTAGTAAGAGTTCCAATCTAGCGTGGTAGTAGTTGTATTGTAGCAACTGAGCTTTGACTGGATCATGGGATAGTCAGCTTATGTGGTTTGAAAGGATGGAAGTGCCAGGCTGTGGACATCAGTCCAGATAGTTTTATTTTTCACAAAAGAAAATCACACTCAACATGTTTGGGGGTTATACAAGAATCCATCTTCATCAAGGTGCAGCCAGACAGTGACCGTAAAAGGATCTTAGTGAATTGACCCTGATGCATGTATAACTTCTGAGCATGTTGGATGTATTTTCTTTTGTGAAGAATAAAGCTACATCTCGACTGACATCCACAGCTTGGCACTCACATCCTTTTACTACACATGGCTTCCATGTCCTTGCTAGTTCAAAGTCCTGTCTCTTCCCACTGTACTGCAGTGCAGCCTGCCAGCGCTGAACTCTTGGGGCCATTTCCATCACAACTACTACTTTATGGTTGGATTCCCTCCAGGTGATCCGACTTGCACCCAAATCTAAAAACACACTGATAGGCTTCCATTCAAAATCAGCCATGGTGTGGGTCTGCCTGACAGCGGTCAATACATTGCAAGCTTATCTGGGAGTTCTTTGTAAATAGCTGTATAATTTGTGGGAGCTATGTTATTAAAACCAAAATATACAGTGGGGATGGAAAGTTTGGGCACCCCAGCTAAAAATTTGTATTAATGTGCATAAAGAAGCCAAGGAAAGATGGAAAAATCTCCAAAAGGCATCAAATTACAGATTAGACATTCTTATAATATGTCAACAAAAGTTAGATTTTATTTCCATCATTTACACTTTCAAAATAACAGAAAACTAAAAAATGTTGTCTGCAAAAGTTTGGGCACCCTGCAGAATTTATAGCATGCACTGCTCCCTTTAGCAAGCTGAGACCTGCCAGTGTCATGGATTGTTCTCAATCATCGTCTGGGAAGACCAGGTGATGTCAAGCTCAAAGGTTTTAAATGCCCAGACTCATCTGACCTTGCCTCAACAATCAGCACCATGGGTTCTTCTAAGCAGTTGTCTAGAAAACTGAAACTGAAAATAGTTGACTCTCACAAAGCTGGAGAAGGCTATAAGAAGATAGCAAAGCGTTTTCAGATGTCAATATCCTCTGTTTGAAATGTAATTAAGAAATGGCAGTCATCAGAACAGTGGAAGTTAAAGCAAGATCTGGAAGACCAAGAAAAATATCAGACAGAACAGCTCGCCGGATTGTGAGAAAAACAATTCAAAACCCACGTTTGACTGCACGATCCCTCCAGAAAGATCTGGCAGACACTGGAGTTGTGGTACACTATTCCACTATAAAGAGATACTTGTACAAATATGGTCTTCATGGAAGAGTCATCAGAAGAAAACCTCCTCTACGTCCTCACCACAAAAATCATCGTTTGAACTTTGCAAATGAACATATAGACAAGCCTGATGCATTTTGGAAACATGTTCTGTGGACTGATGAGGTTAAAATTGAACTTTTTGGCCGGAATGAGCAAAGGTACGTTTGGAGAAGAAGGGGCACAGAATTTAATGAAAAGAACCTCTGTCCAACGGTTAAGCATGGGGTTGGATCAATCATGCTTTGGGGTTGTGTTGCAGCCAGTGGCATAGGGAACATCTCACGAGTAGAAGGAAAAATGGATTCAATAAAATTTCAGCAAATTTTGGATGGTAACTTGATGTCATCTGTGAAAAAGCTGAAGTTAAAGAGAGGATGGCTTCTACAAATGGATAATGATCCTAAAAAACACCTCGAAATCCACGGGGGATTACATCAAGAGGCGTAAACTGAAGGTTTTGCCATGGCCTTCACAATCTCCTGACCTCAACATAATTGAAAATCTATGGATAGACCTTAAAAGAGCAGTGCGTGACAGAACAGCCCAGAAATCTCAAAGAACTGGAAGACGTTTGTAAGGAAGAATGGGCAAAGATACCTCAAACAAGAATTGAAAGACTCTCGGCTGGCTACAAAAAGCGTTTACAAGCTGTGATACTTGCCAAAGGGAGCAGTACAAGATACTCTGCAGGGTGCCCAAACTTTTGCAGGCGCCATTTTTTTTGTTTTCTGTTATTTTGAAAGTGTAAATGATGGAAATAAAATCTAACTTTTGTTGACATATTATAAGAATGTCTAATCTGTAATTTGATGCCTTTTGGAGATTTTTCCATCTTTCCTTGGCTCCTTTATGCACATTAATACAAAATTTTTAGCTGGGGTGCCCAAACTTTCGATCCCCACTGTATCTATAGAACTTGGAGCTCTCTTTGTTAGAGTCCCCTGGAGGTGTACACAGCCTGCCAAATCTACCCCAAAGTACAATATCATGTATTTATGATAACTTAACCACAAATACAGAGTGCAAGTAGGCACTAGGAGGTGTCCAAAGGAGTTTCCCCAATCATTACATTACACTATACAGTGTTTATATAGCGCCAAAGGGTTTGCTCAGCGCTGTACATTAAAGTGGGGGGACAGTACAAGAGACAATACAGTAACAATACAAAACACGAGGAGTTCGAGGGCCCAGCTCTTTCGAGCTTACAATCTAGGAGGGAGGGGGTAGAGGTACAGGAAGAAGTGGCTGTGGGGGATGGAGTGGTAGGAAGAGTGGAGGAGAATAACTGTTAGGTGAGGGTGGGGTAGGCTTCCCTGAAGAGATGGGTTCAGAGTGCGCCTGAAGGTGAGGAGGGTAGGTGACAGTCTGATGGATTGGGGTAGGGAGTTCCAAAGGATGGGGGAAGTCCTGGAAAAGTCCTGCAGTCGGGCCTGGGAGGAAGAGACCAGGGAGCTAGAGAGTAGGAGGTCTTGTGAGGAGCGAAGGGCACGGGTAGGGTGTTATTTGGGTATCAGGTCAGTGAGGTAGTTTGAAGCAGCGTTATGGATGGCTTGGTATTTCAGAGTTAGTAATTTGAATTTGATGCGTTGGGCAATCGGGAGCCAGTGAAGGGATTGGCAGAGGGGGGCGGCTGAAGTGGAGTGGTTGGTGAGGTGGAGGAGTCTAACTGCTGAGTTCAGGATAGACTGGAGCGGGGATAGCATTTGTCGGGGTAGGCCGGTGAGAAGGGAGTTGCCGTAGTCCAGGCGTGAGATAATAAGGGAGTGTACGAGTGGTTTAGTGGTGTCTGGGGTGAGGAACATACGTATCTTGGAGATGTTGCGGAGGTGGAGCCTGCATGACTTTGATAGTGATCGGACATGAGGTTGGAAGGAAAGATTTGAGACCAGGGTGACACCTAGGACTTTGGCGTGTGGGGTGGGATTGATGGTGGCGTTGTTAGTCGTGATGGAGAGGATGGGAGAGGGCGCGGACTGGGGGGAAAACTAGGAGGTTTAACTTGAGGAAATGGAGCGATATCCAGTCTGACATGTCGTTTAGGAGGTGGGTGATACGGGCAGAGACTGAAGGGGTGAGTTGAGGGGTGGAGAGGTAAATTTGTGTGTCATCGGCATAGAGGTGATAGTTGAAGCCGTGGGAGTGCCAAGTTTGCCAAGGGAGGGGGTGTAGATGGAGAAGAGAAAGGGTCCGAGGACAGAGCCTTGGGGGACCCCAACAGAGAGGGGGAGGTGGCAGCATTATAGGTAATGCTGAAGGAGCGTTGGGATAGGTAAGAGGAGAACCAGGAGAGAACAGAGTCCCTGATGCCAAGGGAGTGTAGTTTAGTAAGGAGGAGGGGGGTGGTCGACTGTGTCGAAGGCCACAGAGAGGCAGAGAAAAAGGAGGACTGAGTAGTGGCCATTAGCTTTGGCGGTTAGCAGGTCGTTAGTGATTTTAAGTAGGGCGGTTTCAGTGGATGTAGGGGACGGAAGCCAGACTGTATCACACTTGTCAAGTTGTCGTCTCCTAAGGCTACAACTGTATCTTGCCCTTCCCACTCACATCTCATACCTCATCTAATGAATGCAAGATCACAGCTACAATGTGCAGCCAGGATGAAAGGCTCCATAGGACATGGAAGTTGAAAGAAAATTAAGGTACCAGGAGACACCTCACAGTGGTAGGTTCAAGTATGGGGGAGTACATTTATCAATTTAAAGGGAACCTGACCTGATCTAAGACATTTCTAAAATTTAGCTTCTGAACCACCTGTGTTGGTTTCAGAATCA